AGGAGAGCCCGCTTAGCACGCAGAAGGCCACTAAGCGCGAGTGTGCTCAGCGCATTTTGTAGCGCGCTGCTTGCGTTTTAACATTTTGGCAGAAGCATTGTTTTGAAGCCCGCTTAACGCGGATAACGCGCTTAGCGCGGATTAGCTCAATTTGATGTGTAAAATAAAGAAGTTGCGCTTAACGTGACAGACCTGTTTAGTGCGATCTGCTGAGTTGAGTTTTATAAAAACAGATTTAGTTCATTTTTAGGTTATGGTTTTGGGGATGTTTTTTCTCTCAACTCCATCAACCTTCAATTTTGTTAGGATTAGCTTAGAAAACAACACTAGGGCTTTGCTTATGGATGATTGGAGGTGGATTTCTCATCGACCGACACTGATAAATCAGAAGATTTGTGGTGTATCTCTTCTCCTCTCTTTATATTTATCTTTTGTTGGGTATTATATGTATATTTAATTTGAACTCATGTATATTTGTCGCCCTTGGCGTTATATAAAACTTTCTTTACAAATCTTTGTCGATTGTTATCCTTGATTTTTGCTCTGTGCTAGGGATTTAAGTTGCTATAAATATATACTGCTTAGATTCTTATCTAGGATGATTATCTAATAGTGTATGAACTCTAGAGATACATTTAGCACTGTTATTCACTTAGAGTGTCTGTGATTAATGCCTCTGTGTTGTTTGTGTCTCTCTGAGATCGTCGATGCAAGTGAGCACATTTGACTTTTGCGTTGTTGAGGTGGTTGATAGATCGCTACTAAGGTGATGCAGTCGGCCTCTCAATTTGGGTTAAAAATGACTTAGATTGTGAGTGACACGTGATGACATTGATGAATATTGTAGGTTTAGTATAACAGGTCGATAGGTTTAAGTCTGTGAGAAGTAGTATATATGCGTACTTGATAAATTATTCTTTTTTCCTTTTTATACATTTATTTTCTGTTGATACCTTTACTTTCAACCTATTTATCCTCAAACTCATTAACGATAGATTTATAGAACGACGAATGAATAACCAATCTCTGTGGACACAATACGATATAACCTAAATATCACCCGGTAAATTAATACTTTAATTTTTTCTTGTTGCTTTACCGCTTCAGCAGACACCCATGTTTCAAATAAACCTGAACAAGATGTAGGCCCTTTGAAAGAACCCTATGCATATGATGCGTCCGACACCATTTTTAGGTGGACTACTCTATAATGGAAAATAATGTCTCTGATAACTCATATCTTGTTAGATCGATACACACTATGTCATATGCACTTTCTATAAGGTGGCACATTTCAGGGTAGCGCGTCTAATTTGAAAACAGTGTTTTACTGCTACGACAAGGAATACATGCATCTTGAATTGAATCAAAAATATTTTTGACCCGCATAACTACATGTAGAATTCTCTATGCATCGTCTCTTTCAAAAGTGTGACACGGGAAGTGGGTGATCCTCATCTCCTTTACCAAGCAATCTGGATACAGCCCAATAACCACAATTACCATCATCCCCAACACTCACAATCCGCTCAATGTGTTTGTGCGTAAAAAACGAAATTTCATCAATGAATTCAATCTCGGGCATCAGTGGTAGAAGAGGTGGTGGAGGTGGTGGTGGAGTTGGTGGAGGTGGTTTGCTAATGCGAGCACCCTTTTGAACACTTTTTTGAGATTTTGGAGTTGGAGAATCCTGGAAATATGAATCAACATGTTCAAAGTACGATGGAGACCGCTTTGTTGAATTGTCATCTAGAGTCAGTTTTTCCTTTTTAGGGGCACCTTTGGTTTTATCCAATTGCGAATGAGGTTTCAAATCTATGGTTTCCGAATATGCAATTTCGTGGTGTCATCTTCCTTCACAAATCTATCTTGAATTATTTCCCACTCGGTCTAAATGTGTATACCTGCTATACCATTCTTAATCACACCATCATCATCAAACCAAAGTCTTTTCCAGTGACTGTACACTTCATCTATATGTATCAGAGAATTAATCTTTATTTTTTTTGTAATGAGACAAGCACATAAAAGACCATAAGTCTTCCTAACTTTGCATTCACACTTTGCCGAATTTGTACTTATCTGTTCTGCTCACTTCACTCCGTGAAAGATGAAATTCAACGACGACTAAGAAATGAAACCAACCAATTGTGAATAGAGAATGTTGTCTTTGAATCTATGCTCTTGCATCGTTATGCTTCGACCAAAAGTTATTTGTTTTTCTGAATGTTGGTTTTGAAGCATTTGGTTAACCTCGTCCCAATCTCTACAGAAATCACCCTTACTATCACCCAACCATTTCTTCAATGTTGAATGTGCTGATCCGACTCGGTTAGTTTTTGTAGTGATGAGGTGTTTAACCTGATCGATCTATGCACAAACAATTTTCTCCTTCACATGGTCTAGAATAGTACTCAAAATATATTTTAAAAAATATGGATATCGAACACACAGACTCTTAAATTATATTATGGAGAAAACATTCAATTCTTAATGTGTAGGATGTAGAAAACACATTTGCAACCGAATTCATTAGTGTGGAGTCTCGATCAGTGACAATTACCTTCGACATGTTTTCTTTGTCCTTTAACAAAGTCTTGCACACTTCCAAGGCCCAAGTAACGTTGACCTCTTTTTCGAATTCCAAAAATGCAAATTCCACTAAAAATGTCTTCTCTGTAGAAGTAACATCAACAATTTCAAGAAGCAGAAACCTATACTTGTTGGTCTTGTATGTTGCATCAATAATGAGGATAATAGAAAATATGTTAAACAACTTGATACTTTCAGAATGAGTCTAGAAAATGTTACGAACAATGACTTTATCATCACATACTGCATACCTAGAAACATAGTGGCTTTCATCCAAAAGATTCAAAAGTTGTTGCATTTCGGATCTTGGATCCCTTATCGTCATGTTGTTTTGATGACGCTGATTGTATAATTGTTTGATATTTGAAACACTTTCGGCACCACTCTGATTAAAGACATGTTAGAAACAATTCCCTTCTCCTCCGGTTTAAGACGAAATACGATGGGATGACCGACTAACTTTGTTTACAATTCATGATTATGTATTCCAGAAAGCACATTAAATTCCCACATCTCAGCCACGCTACAATTCCTCACAGTTTAAACAGACAACCACACTTTTTCGTTCATGTGTCATCACGTTTCAACTTCTGAATTGGGAGAACATACGTGCCACTTCTCTCACATTTCATGATTACAAATGTTTGTCTTCTATTTGAACTATTGTCGGACCTTCCGATTACAATGCCAAACCCCAAATTCCTGACTACCATGCAGACTCATTGAAGCATATATTCGTGAGTAGTATACAGTTGTTCATTTATGAAACATTGACCAACGTCTATTTCTATCGACTTAACATCATCCTTCACTTTTTCTGGTTTAACATCTTGCTTAACTTCAATTGGTTTAATATTATCATTCGCTATATCCTATTTTACATCGTTACGTACAACAACTTTGAGAAACACATCCGGATGAACCATAGTTAATAAGAACCAAAACAGAAAAATTCTTAAAAACCAGTAACAGATGAATTCAGATATACATATCCGAATAATGTAGGTGAATATATATATATATATATATATATATATATATATATATATATATATATATATATATATATATATATATATATATATATATATATATATATATATATATATATATATATATATATATATATATATATATATATAAGAGATATGATGATTCAATGCTAACCATTGGATTTGATAAATGGTCTTGATGAACATTTATTATCTATGCTTGCATGTGACTGCATCTAGATCATTTATCAAATCTAATGATTAATATTTAATCCTCCTATCTTTTATTTTAAAAATCCTCCTACTTGATACATTCCTTATATATATATATATATATATATATATATATATATATATATATATATATATATATATATATATATATATATATATATATATATATATATATATATATATATATATATATATATATATATATATATATATATATAAACAAAACGAACATTTTTCAGCTCAAACTAAAAATCAATGCAAAAAATGAGGGATAAAATGAAGGAACTTTACCTTTTATGATGTTCTCTTTGATGTGTTAAAATGCAAGAAATTTAGTTTTGAATTGAAAAGTAGATTGATAATGATATTTTTTTTAAGTTTTTTTTTTTAGTTATGGAGGAGTTTGAAGTGTTTGAAGATGATCATGCAAGGTGGTCATACATTCAAGTTTCCATTAGACATTTTTGGATATATATCTCTAAAAATATCACCGAGTGGTTAAAAAAAATTCTCTATATGAAAAGGTGAATTCGGAGATGTATCTACGAATTTATTCTAGAGTATATTCGAAAATGCATCTTCGAACTAAATTTAAATAAAAGTCGATATTTAGTGCATTTAAAGATGCATCTCCAAATTCATCCTACAACATTTTTGGATTTTCAAAGATACGTCCCATAGTACAAGGGTGCAATATGAGAAATTGCTTGTTCTCATGTCAATTGTTTAGTAATAGCCCGATGTCAATGGTTTAGTGATATCTGTTATTTGTAAGATTTTGCCTACTGTGAGCACAATTATGATCATTGCTAGATGTTTAATTTATTTTGCCTTTCCAAACAAAACTTCTAATATGAGACAAATGTAGATGTAGTACACTGTAGTACTAAGCCTTTTTGTAAGGAAAGGGGATATATGTATAAGACAGAAAAGATGACAAAATCAGATAGAAATTGTTGTTACACAAAATAGCATGAAAACTTGTGTAATGGTAAGAAGACAATCAGCAACGCAACTTATGTAATGGTAAGAAGACAACCAGCAAGGCCTCATACTGAACTCACGACCAAAAGCGCCTTCTTATTTTCTTTTCCTAACAAACTTGGGTAAAACATAATTGAAGTGACACAAGACTGTCATTATACTGTATACAGTCCTATGCATTTAAACTCATTAGCTTCCTCAAAGGTCCTCTGGGCCGTTAATTTCCTGAACAAACAATTTAACAATTAGGTCATTCAAAACAAAAACAAGCTTTATCCTACCAGGAGTCACCAGCATGACTTCCATCCAACAAAAAAAAAAAATCCATGTATAGTTAAATACTCCCTCCGATCCTTTTTTGTTACTTTTTAAACAATAATTTTCCTTTTACCTATAATATCCTTAATTATTTGTCACATGTATTTGACTTTTTCTCTCAACAATAAATGACTACAGGTAATTTTAACAAAAGTGCAATTAATATTATTTTAAACTTTGCAGGCGACAATTAAAAAGGAACACAATTATTAAAGTGACACTTAAAAAGTACCTTAGTCGCAATTACGGCTCCGTCAGGAATTTCCAGCTTTACGCCAGATTTGGCTACGATACTGACTTTCCCCTGTTTAGACATCAGAAAAACAACAGATATCAGAAAATAAATAGGTTCAAAGAAAGAATGGTTATTGACGGTTAGAAAATAAACTGAGAACCTCATCAAAATAGTTTTGGGTCAGTTAGCACATCAATGAAATAATAATGTTCAAAGTAGATTCTGGTCTATATAGTTTTTCTTTATTGGTCCCTATAATTTTATTTCTTGGTATAAGGACCACACTTACCAAGTTAAACAATAGGAACCAATCCAATCAATCTTAAAAGAGTAAATGCCTAATTGAAAAAAAGGTATAGCATTGTATCAGTCTAATATAAGAATGTCAATTTGCACCCGATAGTTGGGACCCCCCCGCGGGGATTCCCCGTTTGGGGAATCAAAGATGGGGAATTTTCTCTCTGTGGGGACGGAGATGAGGAATAAAGACACTTTGGAGATGAGCATGGCAAACATATCCCCGCCCCGTAGAGTCCCCGCCTCACAATAGAATTCTATAATATCATTAATTAATATATAATTTAACATTTCTATGTAGGTTTATTTATCATTTCAAATAACTTGTCTTATAAACAAATGTAAAACACATGTAATGTTAGTTAAAGAGAGAGAGATCTAAATGATTATTTTAATTTTTTTTTAAGTTTGAAAATTTTGTGTTCATGAATCTCAAGATTAAATATTGTTAAATCAATATATTTATCATAGATGATTAGTTTATTAATTTCTTGTGGTTAGTTTTTGAATTTTTTCTATTAATTTAGTTTAAAATAATAAATAAAAATTTATGTTTATAGATATCCGCAGAAATCGTGGGGATCCACGGAGATCTGTGGAGACGGAGATGGGGTACAAAATCCCCCGTGACGGAGATCCGACACGGGGATGGTGGGTAAATTCAAGGGCGGGGATTGAGGAATGTATCCCCCGCCCCCGCTCCCGCCCCGTTGACATCCCTAGTCTAATATATCATATTATCAATCATCAGTATTCCACAATGATCATTGGAATTGTAAAACCATAATCAGATTCATCTCTCTATTGATATTTGCAATTATCACAAAAGTGAATAATATCATGGATGCATTTGATAACAGATAGAAGCAGATTGACAACCCCTGTTTAATATTTAGCAATTCTAGTACGTCTAGCACGCTTCAAATGAAACAAATGCTATAGAAAGAACAATCATGAACTAAAACCACTATACCTTGAGGATTACACCAGCTCCAAACCATACATCGCCAGCCACTTTTACACTGTCAAGCTCAACGATACTAGGAATTGACTTGAAACGGCTCAAGAAGTTGCTAACCTGTGAAGGAGGTTAAGTCAATTAGTATTATAGTTAGCAAATAACACACACTAATCTGTAATATAGATCTTAACCTTCTTAAATTCTGGCCCCAGTTCAATAGCAGGGTTTTCAGGATTAGTCCTAGCTGGGTTCCGAATGACAGATCCATCTTCCAAGGTGTAGAGGTCCGACTGAAAAAAGAGACAACAAATCATGTCAAAAAAGAGACAATTCAGATTCCAAGCAAGTAGTCATGCCTTGTGTGAGAAAAGCTTAGAACCTGGACAAGAAGCAAATCTGAAGTTGCCTTCACTGGAAGGAATCGGGACCGAGGAACATTAATCCCAATAGCCTTGTCAAAGAACTGTTAAAAAATGTGAAATTAATAGCACTAAAAGGAAGTTATAGCAGAGAGAACACTATATGTTAATAAACAACAGGTACCCTTATTGCTGCACCAGCTGCAGTTTCCAGCTGAAGAACTTTTACTCCATCAACTTCCTAGAAATCCATAAATTTCGTGGGAAATTTCACAAGTCAATATATTAGACAAACAACTGACTCACGGTATAGCATCCAGCTCCCATTAAGAGAAAATAAAGAAATATGGAGTATCCCTTGAAAGAAAACCAATCTGACCTTTGGATTGGGAATAATCTCCATCTTGAGAGCATCAGCTTCGACGAGTCTTTTGATTGCTTTCAAGTTCACCCACCTGTAGATAATTGTCAATAGCTACTTATGCATGTGTAATCTAATCAATCAGGCACTAACCAGCAAAACTTACAAGTTATTTGTGTTGAAAATTTTGAACTTCTCTATTGACTTGAATTCACCAACCTGCACAGAGAATAGCATATGGGAAAAGAATGATTAGCAAATGTTTTCTCCACTCTCCAGGAAAGTTCAGGCTTAATATCATCACTTACAAACAAGTCCCTGCCACCATATATTGTGTTGAAATAATTGTAAAAGTATGTTCTGTCCCTTTAACTATATGGTCTTAAATCATCGGTGTGAATATTGTATGAATTTCGATTAAAAAATGTAAAATGTTCACAATTGTGTTTTTATACTAAAAAATTATAACAGCTTGTAAACAAAAAGATGCCATGTAATTGCTTTGACATAAAATTAAAAACTACCCATCAGCTTTGGCTTATAGGAAGTTTCCTTGACATTAGGTACCAAAGTAACAGCTGACACTGTACATTGCTACGCAGTAAATGATCAATACTCCAAAATAACTTGTACATTATTTTCAATTCAACCTTTAAAAATTTAAAGCAGGGAAAGTTATTAACACTTCAATCAAAATGAGAAAAATAATCATGTTTGATATGGCTTTTCTAAAACTTGTGTTGAAAAGGTCTAATCAAAGACAACCACTCTAGAAAAACAAGTTAACACGTCAGTTCAACTTACATTTCTTCACCACAAAAGAAAATGAAATAAAAAAAAAAAGTCAACATCTCAGTCTATATATTAATGCTTAATTACTACTATTGTTTTCAAGCAAATACAGTTAACATTACAAAACTAAGTTGTTTAACTAAAATGGTTTCCTATATTTGGAAGAGAGATGTGATCTGAGAATAAGAGACAGATTTGTAACTTACATGTTCATCTGCGACTTGTGCAATTTCCAGGAGCTGCATAAGAATTGATCAGATGAAATATTGCTATAACTAGAGTACTAAATTAATCAGATAAAATATTGGTCATAAAAAATTAAATCAGCAAAATTACATGCCTGAACCCTTCCTTCATAAGAAATCAAAGTGCCACCCTTAACATCGGCCAATGTTTTGGGAGTTACCTGCATAATAAGAACATAACATTATTAAACTAGTGCAAGTATAAAAGATAAAAGGAAACTACTAGATAACAATCATTTTTCTTTACCTCCATACAATATTCATTCTTGTGCTCGATCAGATGGTTTAAGATTTCTAAATCAATGAGTCAAGCACACAAATAGAACTAAAGGCATAATTTTCATGTGAGTAACAGCCATAAGCAATTGAAAAATTAAGAACCAACGGAAACTTAATTAAGGATACTCAAGTCAACTATAGCTCCCAAGTTATCTGAATTGGCAACAAACACATACTCTTTACCCTGCAAGAACAATAGGGAAAAGAAAAGAATAGTGATGATAATGGTCATAAAAAATAAATAAAAGACAGCCCATCTATAAACAATTTGAGCTCTTGGTTGACCTGTGATAATAGTGCATCAAGTTTTCCACTGTTAGATAATGATGGGAAGACATCCCCATGGCCAGGAGGATACCTGTCCACAGAAATTACTCATAAGCCATTATTTAATTCTATTTGAAGCTAGGCTCAAGGTTACTTTCAACAATCTTGAACACTTTCTATAAAAATAAATTCTACGGATAAAGCAACCGTAAATCAGAGGTACCGTATCATATACTTCCTCTGGTCACTATTATAAGAAAAGATCAATTTTTCGGGTTCATTGAATAATTGATGTATTTGATCTCTATATAGATCAAATGCATCAATTATTCAATGAACTTGAAAAGATAATTTTTGCATATAATAGTAACCAGAGGGCGTACAACCTAACCAAGGTTGTTAGTCACTGTAAACTAGTGGAATCTCCATACACTAGTTTTGTAGGCTTGATACAGAAAAATGTTTAAAACTAAAACGCCTATTATAGTATGTAACGTAATACAATGTTTGCAGTAAATATTCAACATTCTAATTTAGTAATAACTAATAAAGCATACCGAATATTAAATGTAAATGTTCCATAAGCAAAAAATAAATAAAACTAAGATGAATTCATAGACCGAACCAAAAAACACAAACATATCACAATTCAAAGTTGATGCATAAATTCACAAATCACTAGATAGTTTGATACCCAGAGTTGTAAACACACGCAATTTTCTTTGAGGTAAGCGTTTGACATCTATGAACATAACCATCATATGATATTACTAGTGTCATTGACGGGTCATTAATATGATATCACTTTTGAACCATGACAGTACCAAGCCTCACACTCCAGCCACCAAGCATGTAACTTATGGCCCCCAAAGTTCAAAGAATGCTAAAAAAAGACTTTACGAAGTACCAATATTTCCCCAAGCAAAAAAAAGTTAATTCTGTCCAGATCACATAGCATACACATATTCAATGAATAAAATAGTGCATATAGCTTATGAAGGAAATTAAGTGCTATATTTCTCTTTTATAGTTTAACCAACAATATGAAAATAACGGAAATATATAAGTTGTTGATAAAACCTTCGATTTATGGGAAGAAACATCATATCACGCCATGTGGCTTTGACAACAAACATATAGACAAATATTCTACCATTCTTCTAAGTACCAAATACGCTTTAATTCATCTTTAGAGGATTCTGCTGTCTGTTTTAAGGAAGAACAGTTTTATGATGATTTTGTTATGCACATAATAAATTAACATTCACACAGGGGAAACAGAGAATTTAAGTAATGCGTCAATATGTTACCCTGAACAATCTTGTTTTAAGTCAAATCTTTGAGAGAAGAATTTAGTTTCTATTTGAATGACAACTAGATGTCTTAGCAAACAGCAATTACAAATCCATAAATAGGACACATGTTGGTCAGGATCCAAGATATATTTGAAAGAAACCAGCATTGAAGAAAATTTCGCAAGTAAAAAATGATAGATTTTTCTGAGTGCTCCACACTAATTACGAGCTTTGCATAAAAAGCCATCCACTTTAATCATTTCAGAGGGATTAGCATTAATTTATTTAGATTCATGTCTATATTGATCACTTACTAATTTATCAGTCAGTTAAAAAAAACGCAAAATTGATGTAAATCTTGTGAAAGTTGTGAAAATACAAAACAAATTAAGACATACCACCCATCCTTGCCGGTGTTCCCTTTGGAAGGCAAGGGTAAAAAGTCATCAGCAACCAATCGAGGATACTGGCTCTGCATAAATTCGAATAGTGCAACAAAACATCAAAACAAGAAGTTAAAAGCTCAAAGTCCAAAAAATCTATAACATAGTAAAACCAGAAATTAAAGTTACAAACCTGGTTAAAAGTATGAATCTCAATATTCGAGTTTTGATATTTTTCAACAATCTACAAACAGTCATACAGTCAGTTTACATGTCAATTCGAGTTATATTTCTATTCTGTAAAGTGGATAAAAGGGACAAGTACCTTTTGAGTGTCGTCATGAGTGTTGAATGAGTTCATCAAAAGCAAAGGAACATTGCTCCCATATTTGGAATTGAGATTCTACAACAGTCGAATTTATCAGTGGAAAGCCCGCACGGAAAGGGGGAAAAACAAAATTTAAAAATAAGCAAAAATAATGGCCTAAAAATAACCTCAATTTGGATGACAATCAAATCTAAAAATGTCAGTCCATCACGAACTTCAATGACAGATCTGCATTTCATTTGCATACAAATTAACACTTACATACAAAAACAGGTCACCAAAAATAATGATCCAAGACAATCTAAAAAATTATCCCACCCCAGGTCATCAAAATGATTCTCTACTTTCCTTAGATTCTACATTAAATATAGAGAAAAAAATTGTTCACATTTTCCTTAAAGAAATAGAGCAATCTTTTGATCAGCATCAAGTTATAAAAACACATGATATTAACAATCAATCGAATTCCTCTTTATAAAAAAAATAGTCAAGTTTATAAACCGATCTTAATATCAAATCTCGAATTAAATTTCACGCATAGCCTCCAAATACATACTTTGGACCAGTGCAACCCATAGTTGTTCCCAAGCCTCCATTAAGCTTCAACACCACAAGCTTATCCAAAAGACTCTTAATCTCAGCAGAACCTGAAAACCGATTAAGTTTAACGTAAATAAAACAAAATCACTCCATCATAAAACAAATTACGAAATCAAATCATCAAACACAAAACAGAAAAAGATAATCCGTAAACATTTACCAGCAGGAGTTGGCGCCAAAGTGTCATAAGGCACAACCACTTCATCAGTTGGCGTCTGGATCTTACTCCATTCTACATGTTGCGCTTCGCCGCTACAACACATTCAAATCAATAAATACAAATAAATAAAGGATCTATCTATTACACAGAGAGCAAAACAAATAAATCAATAAATAAATCATTAAATAACTAAACAAACGATTTACATAAGTGAAATCACAGATCAAAATGTGAAACTCGAATCAGTGATTTATTTACCTGAGATAACGAGAGACGAGGTTGATGAATCCAGTTTTCTCATTCTCACTACAGCAATACAACAATCAATACAGATCAGATTGAAATCATAGATCGTGAAAATAATCAACAGATTTGATGATTATCGATGAAATTGAGAGAATGCGATACCTGATTTGCTCCAATCCAGCGACGGAGGATTTGAGATTGTCGAGGTTGGCATCGGTAGCGATGGCAGCCATTGGCGAGGAAGGTTCGAGAGAGTAGAGAGAAAGGAAGATGCGATTGAGAGGCTATGTGTGTGTGGAGAGAAGAGAGCGAGAAGAAGGTGATGAATGTGTGAATGATGAGAGGGTGTGGTGTTTAATAGTTGAGATATGGAAATGCTGTAAGAAATTGACACGAAAACAAAAACGCTCGTGTGGTAGTGTAGATTGATTTTGGACCGAAACAGAATATGCTTTTGTATTGCACTGGAAAATTAATAAATATTTTATTTTCATGCACCGGCTGGCAGGTAGTAATACTATGCTATCATATGTTGCTCTCGTCCAATAGTGGAAAAGAGTGGCTCATCTTTCACGCAAAGCTAAAGTGCATATTTTGTATTCTGTTACCAAAATTTAAGAAGGAGATAAGAACCCTCTCTTTTTAATACTCAATTAAATACCATTTTTTTATTGAATAAAATACATGTGAATCCTACTATTTCATGTGAGATCTATTTTTTAAAGTAAGAAATCCATAAATATTTTATCCAATAAAAAAGTGATTGTTCGAAAAAAAAGAAGTTAAAATGTTAAAAAGGGAGTGTTCGTAACTCCTTAAAATTTAATTATATAAAAATACTTGACTTTGATAAGAAATCTTGATATAAAACAAAATAAAAGATTAATTAAATCATATTATTTTTTATAGGTTTAAATATTCAAAACACATAAAATTAGGTAAATTATATTTAAAAAATAAAGATATTCTCATGATATTGACATTATTTATGTCACGCATTTTGAACAAATTTTCGGTATATAATAGAGATGTCCAAAATCGAATAAATTCAATAAAAAATTGTAAATTAAATTAAATCAAATAAAAATCACAAAAAATTGTATTTGGTTCGGATGTGTTTTTATCATCTTTTAATAAAATTGCACAGTTCGATTTGTATTTTGTATTTTGAAAATCAAATCAAACTACATTATGTTACAACCTAAACTTTATTTAACTCACATCCAACCCAAACTTAAACATATTATACCTTAGCCGTATGATTACGAACAATTTTCTCATTCTTACACTTACAGTTTCAGTTTCAATCTTCTCAAAATTTTCCCAGCATTATCGTGCATTCCTTGCCTCATACATCTTGTCTCTTATTCTCTAATCTCTACTATCTTATATTCTTTTATTTTTACCTTCTTATTTTTATGCAATTATTCCCTCTTTCAATTTCGTTTTTATCGCACATCTTCTTCTCTTACTACAAGAAAAATTGTACACTGCAACGTGATTTAGTGACGTGATAAAGATGTGACAAAAATGGGCAGTTGTGACATGTTTATCACGTCACTAAAGTTTTTAATAATAAAATAGTAAGTGTAACGTTAGCACATGTGGAGTCATCTTTTTAAAAAAACGTGGCGTGAAAATCACGTCGCAACATTTAAATTAAAATAAAAAATTAAAAGGGCCAGGCGTTCTGAAGGGGGAAATTTGAAATTTTAAAAAATTAGGTTGTGACATGTATATCACGTCACAAAAGTTTAAGAGGGAAAACTATCTAACATTAAAGTGACGGGGTGCAGGTTGAGTGACTTAAAGTTATGACCGTTTGAACCTTTGCATCGTGATTTTCATTTAGCAAAGTTGCGACATGAAAATCACGCCGCCGCCTTATTATGACTGACTTAAATATCTAATCACTGTAGTTGTTGCGACTTGAATATAACATGGCAAGGTTGTGGCGTGAAATTCACGTTGCTGATTGACTTATTTAATTAAGTGCATGTTTTCTCTTCCCCGAACCACAAATATACTTTTATGTTTTTCTTCTTCCATTTCTTCTTCTACTCTCTACTGTTTTTTCTTCTTCCCTTCCACTACAAGAAATACACTCCCCAGCGACGTGATTTAGTGACGTGATTATCATGTCACTAAAATTTAGTAGTTGCGATGTGATAATCACGCCACTACAATATTTTATAAATTAAATAATAAAACTAAAGCATAGTATGCGCCCGTCTATTTTCTTTTTTATATATAAAAGTTGCAACGTGGGAAACACGTCACAACATAAAAAGTTGAATAAAAAAATATTAAAGTTGCAGGCGTTTTGAAGAGGGAAGTTTAAATATTTCAAAAAAATATATTGTGACGTGTTAAACACGTCGCAACTAATTTAGAGGAAACTTTGACAAGATGCCATTCTGAACCATTATGAAATGTGCAGATTAAATATAAAAATATAACCGTTGGAGGAGTTGTGACGTGGATATCACGTGGCAATGTTGCAACGTGATATTCACGTCGCTGATTGGTTTATTTTAAAATTATAATGTTGGGGTTGCGACGTGAATATCACGTGGCAATGTTGCGATGTGATATTCACGTCGCTGATTGGCTATTTTACTTTCACGCTCAGTTTTCCAGAAACCATTGTGTTTCTTCTCCTCCTCTTTCTTTTCTTCTTTCTCTCTTCTGTTTTCTTCTTTCCCTCATCTCTATTCTTCCATTCTTCCATAATCAAATCTCAATTCCATCATCAATTCTAAATTTATTTTGTAACAAAGACATAATATTTATTCAATTTATTTTTAATATTTTCGTTTTAGGTTAATTATGTTTTATGATTGACTAAATTTTTTTTTGTGTCAAGAAATTGAAGAGATTAAAAGGAAGATTCAACAAAAGGATTGTACAAAAAGTTGAAAGAGTTTGAAGAATTGATGTTATGTTATTTATTTATATTTTAAATTTATCTTATATATATATATATATATATATATATATATATATATATATATATATATATATATATATATATATATATATATATATATATATATATATATATATATATATATATATATATATATATATATATATATATATATATATATATATATATATATATATATATATATATATATATATATATATATATATATATATATATATATATATAAACAGTTTTTATTTATAGTCAAAATAGAATATAATAGTCAAAATAAAATATATATTTATGTTAATAAAAAAAATTATATTTTAATAAAAAACATTAACATGAATATAATAGTTAGGTATAAAAAATATTATTAATTTTTAAAAATGAGACAATTTATGCAAGGGTTTGGTGGAAATTCAAACTTTCGCGGTCAAGAGTCGCAGGATGACGGACGCGAAGATAATTTTGACATTGATAAGTATGACCCGTAAACTTTAATTTTTTTTATTTTACTTTCAAATTTGAATTTGTATACCATACTAATTAATTCTTAAATTTATAATTTTAGTTTATTAATTTTATTATATTAAATTTAATATATTGAATTTATTATATATTAAATTTATTTTATATTGAATTTATTATTTTAATTTATTATATTAAATTTATTAAATTGAATATATAAAATAAAAACAAATTTAGTTATTAAATTAAAAAAAACATTAGTGATGTGATTTTCATGTCACAAGTTGTGACGTGAAAATCACGTCGTAACTTATTTTTTATATAAAAAAACACAAAAGTAGAAGGTTGACGTTGTTAAAAAAAACACATAATTGAAACTATTTAGTGACGTGTTTTTCACGTCACTAATTTGTGACGTGAAAAACACGTCGCAACTAAAGTAACTTTTATGCCTGTCATGCCTGCTTTCTTATAGTGTTGAGTTTTCTATAAAATTTTGTTGCGACGTGATTTTCACGTCACAAAGTTGTGACGTGAAAATCACATCGCAAATTGTTTGTCACCCCCTCCCCAGCCACGTGAATGCACACGTCGCAAATATTGTGTAGTGACGTGATTCATCATATTGTAACGTGAAATTCACGTTACAAATGAGTGTTTTTTTATAGTGTTCCATTCCAATTCCAATTCATCAATTTCCAGTCCAATTTATCAAAGGTAATTTCTTATTCCATGATTTTTCTTTAATTTCGTTTAATTTTTATAGTATTTTCTTATTTTAATTAATATTTTGATTTTTTCTGTCAAGATATTGAAGAGGTGGTTTGCAAGAAGATTAAAAAATATTGAAAAAGATTGAAGAAGAAGATTGAAGGAGATTCAAGAAGAGGTATTTTAGTTATTTTAATTTTTTTTTATTTTGATATATTTATTGGGTTGTTGGTTGTCGTTTAAATAATATGAAGGTTGAGAAAAACACAAGAAAGAGAGTTTAAATTAGGATTTTCAAAACTATTTCTTTTGCAAATGCTTCTCACGAACAAACAATAATAACTAAGCAAGAAAGAAAAGTGGCACGTTTTGTCTATTCAAGTTCACCTTAAAAAATACTACTCTTGTCCATCCGCCAAGGTGACTTGCCTTAGAAAATGACTTAATCTAATAATCTAGAAAGATTACAACAACCTTAAAGAGTTTAAAAAAACACCTTATCCCTCTCAAGTAATTTTGAGTACAACTTAGTCACTTGAGGAAACAAATCTAAAAAGATTTACAATCAAATAATGTTTACAAGATTGCTTCTAAAAAGAAAATTTAATGCTTCAATGAAGAACAAATATTTACGCATAAATATGAGCAACAACTCTTGTGTATACAACAATGATAAAACTAACACAATAATGAACAACAAATCTTTCTTTTCTTTGTTTTCATGATAACTTTGATACCTTGATCGTTTGAATATTTTCGGTCTTTGTCACTTTCCAATGAACTAGTTATCCCCTTATATAGGCTGAAAAAAGAAGACCGTTAGAAAACATCACTTTCATCAAATCGCCTACTACAACAATAGTGTATGAACATGGGAGATAAGGAGCATACAAAAGCTTCTTCAGTACACTGCATTTACCATAAATAACAGAAAAAGGTGTTGTATTGTTGCACTGTTTACTTATAGTGTAAGTTATCTGATATTTTATTCTGATGAGATACTTCTGATCTGAAGTAGTAAGAGAGCACATAAGAGATCATGTCTTTGTTCTTTAATCTTCTGATGGAATGATTCTGATATGAAGAGATGAATTTACTGAAGATGTTTCTTTGTAGTGTTTC